CCTCGCGCCAATGCTGGTCGCTCCTCACCGTGAGGCCGCTCCCCAGCTTGCTGCAGGCAAAGGCGATGTCCGGCCTCGTCGTCGTCGCCGCAAACTGCAGCGAGCCGACCTTCTGCCGGTACTCCTCCACCTCACGCTCCTGGGCCTCCTCGTCGTCGAAGGTCAGCTCGGCGTAGGCGTCGACCGAGACCGGCGTCTTCGGGACTCGGCCACCCTGCTCCTCGTCGATGAAGCGTCTGCGCAGCTTGTCGGCGTAGCCCTGCTGGTGCAGCCACAGCTTCCTGGCCGGCCTGTCGCGCACGATCTCCAGCCCAAGGTACTTCACCACCGGCGAGATCTCACGCAGCTCGAAGGCGGCCTCCAGCAGCTCTTTCAGCTCCTTCAGCATCGCGGTGCTGCTGCTGGCGGCAAGCAGGTCGTCGACGTAGACCAGCACCATCGCCGGCCTTGAAGTAGAGCGCCTCGTCGACCTGGCTCTTCTTCCAGCCAGCGCCCAGCAGCACACCGTCGAGAGCCCTGTACCACAGCAGCGGCGACTGCTTCAGCCCGTAGAGGCTCTTCAGCAGCTTACACACCCGGCCAGTCCTATCGGCGAAGTAGTCCGGCTGGTACATGTAAAGCACCCTGACGAGCTTGCTCGGCAAGAAAGCGTTCTTCATGTCGAGCTGCATTAGGTTGAGGTCGAGAATGGCGACGATGCTGAGGAAGATCCTCAGCGTGACGTAGCTGCTCACCGGCGAGTACGTCTCGTCGTAGTCGGTGCCGTACACCTGCGTGAAGCCCTTCACGACCAGCCTTGCCTTCTCGCGCTCGACGGTGTCGTCGATGCGGTACTTGGTCGTCAACACCCACCGGTTCTTCATGATGTTCACCCCGCGTGGGCGTTCGACCAGCTCCCAAGTGCCCATGCCGATGAGGCTGCGGATCTCTTCTTCCATGGCGGCCTTCACCGCCTCGCCCTTCCAGCTCGCCAACGCCTCCTTCACTGTCATCGTGACGATGTCCCAGCGGTGTTCAGGGTCGGCATGCACATCAGGGTCGAGCTCCAGCAGATCTTCATCCTCCTCGGCGTCGTCATACAACAGGTCGTCGTCGACCTCGTCGTACACCGTGGTGAAGGCAGCTGGCGGTAGGCAGGCGTGGAAGCTCGGCGCTCCGGCAGCCTTCGAGCTCAACCTGTGTGTCGCAGCTCAGGCTTCGTGATTGGCACCTCCACCACGTCGCTGTCGGTGGACTCCTCACCCGCCGACTGCTCCCCGTCCTTGTCGACGTCCTCGTCGACGTACTCGTCGTCGACCAGTTGCTTCGACCCTTCAACCGGCTGTTCATCTGCTGCCGACTTCGACAGCTCCCCTGGTTGACCGCCCCGGCTGCTGCTCCCCTGTCAACTGCACCCCTGATGTTGCCTCCTGTTCGACCGGCTCCCCTGTCTGCTGCTCCCCTGTCGTAAACGGCTTCCAGTCCTGGTGGACGAGCTTGGTGCTTTGTCGACCACCGGCGATGCCACTAGCTGTCGGAATCTTTCTGTCTAGGCCTTGTCGGCCCCTAAAACTGTGCTCCTTATCCCCCCTCTTGCCCCTTGGCCTCTGTCTTCTCTCCTGATGCTCTCAGCCTGGCCTCTGTAGGGTCCTCAGCTCTTCTTGTTGCTCTCCCCCTTACGTCCAGCCTCTCACCCTACTTGAAAAGGTCTCCTACCTAACGCTGGTCCTCAAACCCTAGCTCGGCTGGCTGGGAGAGTGGTTGAATAGCGAATTGGGTGCTTGCGCAGGTTGGTTTCTCGTGCTTAGTCTTCGCATGTAAAGATTGGAAACTGTAAGCATAAGTGTGAAAACAATCACGCAAGCATCTATCTAAGTTTGCCTAATTTCTGAAGTACCAGCGTCGGGTTACCGTTATGCTAACGGTCCCTGTTCGCCCGCCAATTCCTTGTATTTTTTGTTTGCTCGTGTCGGCTCCAGCCGGTCCAACCATTATCCTTCCTACTGTAGGCTTCATTTATCCTATCGATCACGAAGATATATCTAATGCCCTACGCAAAGATTAGAATCGTGACATAGCCGGCGCCACAGGCGACGCCTCAAGGCTCCCCTCATCGCCGGCGGCCGACACAGGCGTCAACGCAGGCCGATCTGCGACGGGGGAGGGAGGAGCAAGAATAAGGGGAGGGGAAAGAAGCCCCACAACGTTCTCATCGGCAGGCTTGTCAACTCCGGCGAGCAGTGGGATCGTCGTCGTCGAGGTGTCCGTCGGTGGGTGTGCGTGTGTCCGCCTCGACGCCAGCCCATACTTCGCCTTCCACACCTCCAGCGACAGCGTCTCGTAGAAGATCACTTCGAGCGACGTGACCACCTTGTTGTCGGTCATATCGAGCACCTCCCAGCCCTTGCTCTCCGGCGACACACCCAGGTGAAGCCCCCAGCGAGCTTTCGGCACCAGTTTCCCACCGCGCTGCTGCTCAGGAACCATGAACTGCACCATGCAGCCCCACACCCGCGCCAGCGTGAGGTCGGGCTTCTTCCCAATCAGCATCTGATACGGCGTTGTCCCCCGTGGCGTCGTCGACCGCTCCAAGCAGTTGCGCACCCAGACGGCTTGGCCAAGGGCAAGGTGCCACCAGTGGTGCTACACGCTCTTGAGCAGCAACATCGTCCGCACTGATTCGACCACCGTTCGCATCTCCCGCTCAGCCATGATGTTCTGCTGCGGAGTGTAGGGCCACGTCAGGTCGTGGACGATGCCCTTCCCGTCGACGAAGCCAGTGAACTCCTTCCCGAGGAACTCGCCTCCTCGGTCAGAGCGGAGCGACAACACCGACTACTTCGTCTGCCGCTCCACCAGTACGAGCCACTTCTCTAACTCCCGCAGCACGTCGCTCTTCTTAGCGACCGGCATCACCTACAAGAAACGAGTGTGGTGATCCTTCATCAGCAGGAAGTACAAGCTGCCATCCTTGGCAGCCACCCGAAATGGCTTGCACAAATCAATGTGCACGACAGCCAGTGCCTCCTCGGCGTCCGAGCCCTTGTCGGGGAAGGTGTGCCGCGCCAGCTTTCCCACGACGCACGAAATGCGCGGCGTGTCTACTCCGGTCGACGACATGATGTCGAGCCTTGTAGCAACTTCATGCTTCGCCGAGCTCTTGATCGTGTCGACGCCGACGTGCGCGAGCCTCGCGTGCATGCAACCGGTCAAGGGTCGACTTCGTCGCCGAGACGATTGTCCGCAGAGCCACCACCTCGGTCGACGGCGACCGCGTCGAGCAGGGGCGAAGGTCGGTGCAGAGGACTCGTCCGGTGTAGCGTTCTTGACCGAGCACCTCCCCGGTCGCGGCGACGAGCAGCATCTCGTCGCCGTCGCCCTGCAGCTGCACTCCGCTCTCCTTCAGTTGGCCAGCTGACAGCAGGATTGCCTGTACGCCTGGAACGTAGAGAACGTCGGGGATCTTGACCCGCTTCCCGGACTCCCCTTGCAGAGCGAGAGTTCTATGACCCTCGACAGACTGCAACGCCCCATTGAAGCCGCGCACGTGCTTCACACTGTCGCTCGGCGCCATGTCGATGAAGACCGCCGTCGACCACTGCACTCGCGCCTGACTCCTGTCGACGCCACCGTCGACCTTTATCGCCCCTCTCTGCTTCGTGCCTTCGTTGCCGCTGACTCGTGCACCGCCGTCGACCTCGTCGTCGACGCCACCTTCGTTCCGCACACCGGTCGAGGAGATGCAGGACGGGAAGGATGCGCGGATGCCCAGCTCGACAACCTCCAAGGGGAGGTTCGGCCTGTACTCGCCAGCCTCGTGGCGTCTCCTCGCATCAGCCAATCGTGCCTCCAAAGTGTCCAACATCAACTACGGGGTTGACCATGGCGACTAACGCGGCTGCCGGCCTACGAACGACTTAGTAGGTGCAAAAGTCGGCTCCTATCTGAAGGTCGCGTGTTCGTTCCACGCTCACCGCACCATGCGGAGAGTCACTCTACAACGGTCGTGAGCCAGTCTACGGGGGTGTGGGTACGAACTACTAGGAGTGGTCCTAGCTTTGCTTAGTTCCTTAGCGCTTACACATTTACTGGAGAAAGTGGCAAGAGTTTCCACTAGCAGAGTTGGAATTCCAGAATGATTAAGTTCACAATGACAAGAATGACTGCATCAGGCACCTAGCAACTCTGCAGCTAGCCTAGTCGACCGCCAGCACAGCTTGGTCGACCGCCTGCCAGCGTTGCGTAGAGGAGCCACGCCAGCACTGCAGAAAGGCGACCTGCCAACACTGCAGGTCGACGGCGTGCCAACGCTGCAGCAGAGCGGCTGTCCAGCGTTGCCCCGTAGAAGACAGCAGTGCGCACGCTCGCAGGTGCGCGCAGACGATTGGCCCGACTTGCATCGTTGTGCATCCGTCGGCTGTTGTCTGCGCCTGACGAGCCACATCGACTTCGGGATACCAGCCCGAAGTCGCCTTCGCCATCAACGTTCGCGTGCCTTCGCAGAACTTGTCAAGCAGGTTACCCGGTCGACCTGGACACCACCAGGTGCTTCTGGTCAACCACAGCTCCCGTCGAGCTACCCCCTGGTCGACGGGCCCCTTTCGTCGACCAAAACCATCAGCGGTTATCGCCGAGCTCCCCTGGTCGACCGCTGCTCACTTGTCAGGTCGACGGACTGCTCCGTCGACCTCCCGGTCGAACTGCCCCTCCTGGTCGACGGCCCACCCGTCGCCCAGCCCAGTCAGCTGCAGCTGTCGAGCTCCCTGGTCGACGGCTCCAGCCCCGTGACAGTCTTGTGCAGGTCGACAGCCACCTCGTCGACCTGCCCCACAAGAGAAGGTCGTCGAGCACTCCTGGTCGACGACAACACCACTGCGGTCCCCTGTAGGTCGACGAAGTTCGTCAAGCAGCTCTTCCACTATGAGTGGTCGGCTGCTACTCCCGTACATCCGACCAAGTCGTCGGCGTTGCCCAAGCGAGGGCGGGGCCAACACTCCATTCTCGTTAACAGGGTGGAGATCATGCGTGACAGGTCGGCGAGGAAGCTGTGGCTGCACCAGCAGAGCTACGCTGACAAGTTGCGTAGGCGTTTTATCGACGAGGAGCAGGGCGGTCGGACCCCGAAGACGCCGGTCTCCGTCGACGCCTACGCCAAGCTCGCCTTCGACGACGAGGAGGCACAGGAGCGCCAGGAGGAGGAGTACCGGCAGAAGGTCGGCTCGCTGCAGTTCGCGGTGACGACGACGAGGCCGGACATCGCCTTCGCCTGCAGCAAGCTGGGGAGCGGCCTCACGGTGAGAAGCGACCAGCACTGGCGCGAGGTCGACTGCTGCCTTGCCTACCTCGCCAACACGCGCGACACCGCCCTGGAGTTTGGCGGTGGTCCGGAGTCGCTGGAGCTGGTCGGCTACGTGGACGCCGACGACGCCGGCGACAAGCAGAACCGGACGAGCACGGGCGGCTACGTGTTCGTCTACGGAGGGGCTGCGGTCTCCTGGTCGAGCCAGCGCATCAAGTGCGCGACGCTGTCGTCGACCGAGTCTGAGTACGTGGCAGCAACCGAAGCCGGGAAGGATTACGCCGACTTCGCTTCCTCCTGGCAGAGTTTCGGCAGCTGGACGCTGGGAAGCCGACCGTTGTCCTTTGGGTGGACAACAAGTCGGCCATCACAGTCGCCGAGGGCATGGGGTTGACGGGCAACCTCAAGCACATGGAGCGACGTCAGGCCTGGCTGCAGCACATGGTGAAGCGCGGGAAGTTCGCGTTGAGGTACATCCCAACCATCGAGCAGCCGGCCGACTTACTGACAAAGGCGCTGCACTACCCGGCCTTCAACCGGTGTTCCCTCGATAGGCCAAGTGCGCTTGGCCGAAGCCAGCGACGGCGACAACGGCGTGCATCAGTAGGTGCCATGCCCTTTTGCATGGCTGGTGCGGTGTCCGGCGTGCTGTGTGTTGTGTGCACGCCGCCGAGCTATTCTACGAGCCGTGCTGCCGTGTGGGCTGGGGGTCCAAGCGTGAACGTAGCAGGGGAGTGTCAACGGGAGTAGTGTTGGGCTCCGTCCTCGCTTGGGCGGAGCCGACCTCGTGGTCGGGTGTGCGGGGGGATGCAGCCGACCTGCAGCAGTGGGTACGGGGGCCACTGCAAGGGCGTTGAGCTGGAGTGGACGCCGACATGGGCGCCAGGACGTCGACCCTGGGACGCCGGGCTTGGTGTAGCCGGCGTCCGACTGGGCTGGACGACCAGGCGGGGTTATCCGTTCGTCCGGGATACCTGGGCGACGTGTGCGAAAGTCGCCGGGATGGTTTCTGCGAAGGCGCCCTCGGGGGTGATATCCCGAGGTCGACATGGCTGGTGGGCGCAGTCGCTAGCGTGGAGTCTGCTAGGCGTCTGCGCTGTGCTCGTGACGAGGTGTGGAGCACCAACCAGCTGCATGCACCTACGAAGTAGGTGCACCGTTGTCCTGCGGGTGCAACGCTGTGCAGCCGACTTGCTGCAGCGTTGGCACACCGTAGACTTGCAGCGTTGGCAAGCCGCTACTGTGTTGCGCTGGAGCGGTGCGAGCTCTGCTACGTTGGACCGTGGCCGACCATGCTGCGCTAGAGGTCGACCAGCAGCCTAGCTAGCTCTGATGTAGTCTGGGTTGCCAATGTTGTTGCTATCATTCTGGATCATTGTTGTGAATTTTTGCTAGTGAAACTCTTGCCAAATTCCCCCGTGAACCAGCAAGTAGTGCAAGCACAAGCCAACGACCAAGGAACGAAGGCAGAGATCACCCTCGCCGCGTGCCTAGCCTGTAGTCTAGGTCCCGTTGACAGAGTTATCTCCGCACTATGCACCCCATTTCCTCCTCCACTCTCCCCTCACCTCGTCCGCCGCTTGCTTCATGGCCTGGCATAGCCCTGACAACACAGCCTCGTGGTCAGGTCCGTCCCAAACCAGCAGGCGAGGTCCGGTGGGAGGGGTGAAGGGCACGTAGGAATGCAGCTTCAGGTAGCACAAGCCTCCCGCCCCGCATGAACGCATTAGCTCAGGAGTGGACAAACACATAATCTCCGTAGGAGTGGCTGTGGGGATAAGGAAGGAAAGGGGGGATGAGAAAGGGGTTTGTCTAGTAAATGGAAGCCACAAAACACTTCAATTATCATGTGCCCTCTCGCCCGCATGAACGCATTGGCCCAGGAGTGGTCAAACACATACTCTGCGTAGGAGTGCCTCTGAGGAAGAGGGGACGAGGGGAGGAAGGAGGGAAGGGAAGGGAAAGGTGGCTATATTATGAATGAAAGTCGTCGCACACAAATCTTGGGGTGGTACGAGCCTCCCGCCCGCATGAACGCATTGGCCCAAGAGTGGTTGAACACGTACTCTCAGTAGGAGTGCCTGTGGGAAAGAGGAGGGACGAGGCTTGTGCTTGTCTGCGTCGCCCCACACCTTACCACCCCTACAGAAAGGGGAGAAGGGAAGGGAAAGGTGGCTATCTTATGAATGAAAGCCACAACACACCGCGCTACGGGTAGTATGAGCCTCCCGCCCACATGAACGTGTTTTCGAGTCTGTTTTTTGAACTGTTTTTTAGTCGACTCAAAAACACGCTTGAGGTAGTACAAGCCTCCTGCCCTCATGAACGCATTGGCCCACAAGTGGTTAAAGATATACGCATTCGCCTGCATGAACGTATGAGAGTGGCTGTGGAGAAGAGGAGGAAAGAAGGCGCAACAAAATGGTTTGTTTATTCAGTGGAAACCGTATGGCACTTGGGGTAGTTGAAGCCTTCTTTCTAGGTTGCTTCCTTTCTTTGAATATATATTCCTTCTACTTTTGGTATGCGAAACACCTTTATGTAGCCAAGATTCATAAGAACAAATGACAGCCCTCTGATCGAATTTCCCCACCACCAGGTTCTGTTATAACCAACCCTCGTATTAACACCAAATTTGGGTAGCTTACTACGGCACACCCAAATTTGCGAGCACTGTAGCATTTCGAGAGGCATAATACTGTTCATAACCAAAGTAAGCAAGCAAACCGTTCTAAAATGCACATCATCGTTTTCCACCGCGTACACCGAGCAAAAACTGAATGAAGTCCGTATTAAGAAGAATCATTACATCCATCTGGATAAGGCGCATACCCACAAACGAAAATGTTCTTCCTTTCCGAGAATATGTCATTTGAACCCATGTTTCTATAACTGCATAGTGCATTGATGCTTGGAGCCGTGGCACATGAAGTAAAATCTGGAAAAGGATTGTTCGGACTGGAAAGCAATTGTCGATGATGTGTGACGTGTCACTAAAGTGATTACAAATCAGCGCAAAACAAACCTCCCTGTGAACACTCTGTTACTGGTCCGTATGGCTCATAATATGAGGTTCTTGCTTCACCATGTCAGCACAATGCCACGTGACTTCACTTCATTGGATTCGGAAGCTAAACAGACATTCGAATGAGTGGACCTCGTAAGGCGTATTCAACAGTTCTCCTTGGACATCCTCGTGTTGCCAGTGAGTTTTTGATGCACATATATAGATAAATACATAAATTTCTTTTTATGAATATACTAATCTTGTTTTTATTTTAATTATTGCAAAACCTACGATAACACAAATCTGCTGACCAATAGAGAAAATATCACTGACTGGAAGGAACAAACAACAATATTTACGGACCTTAAGTAACGCTAGAATGACATAGTTGTAGGGGAACAATTGAAAAATAATTATAGAATTGTAAGATATTGATATTTAGTGAGATATAGGAATATAAATAATAAATCAAATATTCAATATCTGTAATCATTAATCCGAGCTATCGATGGTCTTACTGTTTAGCTAAGCATCTCAAATCAGAATCATGTAGCTCTCATAATTCACTGATGCTTGACTCCCGCATCTCACTGCGATTCATGCCCTGATGCTTACTCTCGGGCGTAGAGCATGAGAGCGAATTATTTTCTTGGGTAAAGTCCACGAGCTGGCGGTGGCTCAAGGGTAGGAAGCGCATAGCAAGTCCTTACGAATAGCAGCTCCAGTCCTTAACTAAAAACCTCTGGTACTTGAATAGTAGCCGTGGCCCTAGAGGCACTTGACCTTACTTTCAAGCTTCGAAATGACATTGGTGACACCCCACCGCTGCAGGCAGCCCTTCAAATTCCCAGATCGCCAACACTTTCAACTGAAAGCAGAAACGAATCCGACGACACCTCGATAGTACCACGAGTAGATTACATCGGGCAGTTTGGGTGGAAGCAAAATGTCGACGACTCACATTCTTGTGAACGCGATCAATTGTGGACGGAACCGTTTTGCGAGACAAGCGAACCGTGTTGAGTCTCTTTTTTACCGTGCTTTAAACGTGTGTATCGTACCACACCGTCTAACATCCACTGCGCAGTCAATCAGTTTATGCAAAGAATTGTAGTCAGAACGCGTCTCACCGAGCATCTCGATAGTGATTGGCTGATATGTGCGATTCGCGTTTGTGACTTACCCGCCAAGCATGACCAACTCCACTTCAGCCCATTTACATCCACCACAATCTGCCCTCTCACGCAATACAAATACCCGCTCATTTTTCCTTCCAACACCAGTCTGTACATCGAAGCTCTTTTATTCACTCGCTGCCTAACACACTCGTGCAACATCCTCGCTCGTTTCCAGCTCTCTCCTGCACCCTCTTTACTAGCTCGTGATCATGGCGCGACTGCTTACGGCTCTCGTTCTCCTGTTTGCTGTCACCGTCACTCTCGCATCACTCGCTTCCACGGCTGCTGCTCGACCAGCTCGGCTTCTTGGCGACGGGATGACTACCGATGGTAAGTCGCTAACCTAGATGTCGCTACTAGCGATAGTATGGCTGTCGATCATTTCCCGTGCGATTTCTACCGTATACGCACGTACGATAGTGAAGCGCATCTCGAGAAGCGAGAGATCTCCATGCAATATTGGCTCATGCAAAGCCAATATTCAAACGTGTATGGCATTGAGGATTCGCCTGACGGTCGAATGGATCCCACGCAAACTCAACACACAAGCAGACGAGCTCTCCAAGATGGTCGATTGAGATGGCTACTCAATCAAAACACCATGGTTCCGCCTCATCAAGCGATGTTTGGGGTTGCACACCATCGATCTATTCCTCAACGTGAACAACACACCACTGGCCCGCTTTTGCTCTAAAGCACCCCACCCTAACGCAGAGGCTATCGGCGCCTTCTCCATCCCGTGGGACTCCGAGCATGGATACGCCTTTCCACCACCCCACCTCGTCCCAGCACTGCTGCACCATGCCCAACGAACGCGACCATCACGCACGCTCGTCGTGCCTCATTGGCCTGGAGCAAGCTAGTGGCTACTGCTACAACCCGCCCCGCCTATGTGGGCCCCTTGCATCACCGCTCACATCCACCTCACCCATGAGAGTCAGTGCCTCACTGCAGGCACCCATACTAGTGCCTTCTCTGGCAAAGGAATGCCTCACACCAAGGAAGGATGTCCAAATAATCTCAGTTGAGAAAGATAAAGAATTTCGTGACCTTAACCTTAATGCTGAGGACACCATAGGAGGCCTTCCTGTGGAAGAGGAAGAAGCACTGAGAAACCAGGAAGAGAATGGAGAACAGGAAGGGCTTGATTATCTCGGCTCTTATAACAACTTTCCGGAGGAGTTTGAAAAACTTCAATCCACGGCGGCC